AAGTTAATTGTTCAAAAATACCTAACTACAAACACCTAACTATAATTAAAAGAAGTTTACAAATTGTTCTTAAATCACAAACAATAAAACAAATATTAAAAAACTAAAATACACACTTTTAAACGCAGTTTAATTCAACAAAACATCAAGAATACCATGTTTGTCAATGTTAAATATTCTTATGTGTGTCTACAGGCAGCCATTTTTAAAGGGCTAGGGTCACGTGTTCTGGACAGCCTAATTGTTTTGGCGTACTTTCAATCTTGCGACTGGCGGTTGATGTGAATACTCAACTACAATAAGAGCGCCAGGGTCCATGAAAGAGAAAGCATGATTAGGAAATTAGTTAAAGAATATTTAGTTGGAATGGAATAATGTTTTCGGATGAGTCTCGATGTACACTGAGAACTGCAAATGAATAAGAAAAGATATGGAGAACAAATACGAGCATCTTAATTTTTATGTATGTGATGGGTTCATAATGATGGAGATTGTAGATACTAAAAACTTTTCGTAGAATTTAAACAAGTGCCTCAGGTCTTGTGCCAGCCAATGTTATAATTTTCAAACAATCTATCTGCTTGTTTACTGATATACAGGGTGATCCTAAACGACGCTGCCAAAATAATACAGTAGAGAGATCTTGATGTCCTATTTTTTTGTTTTGCCAAAACATTATTTCAAAGGGAGCTTTTAAAAACATTTTTTATTTCTCGAAAAGTACAGAATCGATTTGTATCAAATTTTGTGCGTCATCAGACGTAGGTTTAAATTGTCCCAATATTGTCAGTTTTTCATTTGTTGAAAGTGGGCGCCACGTACACACGTATAATAATTATCTACGAATATAATGAAGTGCATTGGAGCAGATAAGATTATCAAGCATGATCTCTAGGGTTGTTTAAGTATTTTTTAGGAAAAAAAAAACTAAAAACTGATAAAGTTACCTTTATACAGACAACACTGATGGGACAATTTAGACCTACATATGACGGCCAGGGGCGGTTTCTCTATTGGTTTATTTGTTCAGTGAATACCCAGTTAAATTTCATAAAAAAACATTATTTTAAAATCACATAAATAACGTAAAATTATAAATTCAAAATATTTTTATTATTCTCGTACGTGTTAATCTCTATTTTTTGGTGTGCCACTGCGCTGTGCTGTGGCTGGTCGGTGTCGGTGCAATGTGCCGATTGAATGTGAGAGGTTTCCGCGAATGCCTATGATTAGAAAGAGAGATCAGATCCGTGAGAAAACAGAGCGCCCGTATGAAACTTGGTTACTTTAGTATCAATTTCGCACGTAATTACGACAATTAACGTCACGTGGTCATTTAAGAAATGTTGATATTCGTCAGTTATTAGATTTTGGGTATAGAAAAGCAATAAAAGACTATCAATCAAGTAAAAAAAAATCGTTACATTTTGTTTCATCCTGTTGACTCACAGTAACTGAAATTTCAAAATTCTTGGCCAAAATTAAAATATCGTTGCCGCTGATTTTTTTTTAAACCTGAGCCCCTTCGATCTCAGTCTTGATTCTAAACACTGAGTAAACCCATTTTTTTTTAAGTTAGCCTTCTAATCATGGATATTTTAGAATCAGAAGTGACCAATAAGTTTTAAGTTTCTTGATTTAATTTGTGTACCAATTTCAGTCGAAATTAAATTACTTTTTTACATTAAGATTTTTAACAATTTTAATTGCCTAAAGTAACCTTTAACATACACTACTGAGTTATATTTTTCAGGAAAATAAAAATCATTCTTCTCAATGTACTATTAAATGCATATATTTTTTAATTTTAAATCCCTTTGAAAATCCCCTTTCTACGCTCCGATCTCCACAAAAAAATAATATTATTTTTCAAACTGTGGAAGAATGAAAACCTCAGCGTTGTATTTTGCGCTGTATCAAAATATATTCGTTTAGGTAGGTACGCATTTGTATTGTTGATTCGAAAGTATTCGCCGAATTTATTTACTCTCAGGTCAATCCATTATATAAGATAATTATAATACTATGACGAAAATCAACGGAAATCATAATCATTGGTCTACACAAAATAAATATAACAGAAGCAGAAACTGTGACAGCTAGTTTGTTAAACTTAGTTCATATTTAAAAAGTGATGATAAATGTTAATAAAAATTTTAAAAACACCTTGCTCATGCCTCCAGCTACAAAAGGCATGTAATTTAAATAACTCTATTATTAAAATAAATAAAAGAGAAAGAAATAAAAGAACAACAATTTTAAATGAATTCTCACAATTATTTGCTTTGAAATACTTGAAGTTTAAACAGTTGTCGCTCAGATGGAGCTAAATATCTTCTGGGGTGAGTTATAATTCTATGAAGAGGGATATTTCTACTATCAGTCTGTGCTCCTTACATAACGCACATTGTAAATTGCTGTTTAGAAGTTGGTTACTTTCCTGATAGCTGGAAGTATTCCTTAATCAAGCCTTTGCCAAAATCAAATAAGCCTGAAACATTTAGCGACCTTCGGCCCATAAGTATTTTACCGACGTTGTCCAAAATTATAGAAAAAGTAATTAGCAAATATATACATACGTATTTTCTCATAATATTGTAACCACTAAACAATCAGGTTTTCGAAAGGGGTTTAGTACTACAACATTACTCTTAGATTTAACAGATAACATTATAAGATCAATGGATGAAGGAAAAGCTACAATAGTTACTCTGCTTGACTTTTCTAAAGCGTTTGACACTATAGATCATCAGCTTCTTTGTGCCAAACTCAAATATTTTGGTTTCGATGAAACCTCACTAAGATTTTTCAAATTTTATTTAAGTAACCGCTACCAAAAAGTAACGTTAGAGAAATCATCTAACTTTATGTGTGTAACATCAGGAGTACCCCAAGGCTCTGTTCTTGGTCCCCTTTTGTTTTCCATATATATTTCAGACCTTTATAAATTATTGGAGCATGTAAATATACACTCTTTTGCTGACGACACGCAACTATATTATTCCTTTGACCCATGTGAAGTAGATATAGCCTCGCAAAACATGAATTCAGATCTAAATGCAGTATATACATTTTCTATGAATCATAACCTTAAACTAAATGCCAGTAAATGTCATACAATATTATTTTGTACTAAAAATATAGAACATAATGTGCAACAGAACCTTAAGTTATTCATTCAAAATGAACCTCTAAAATCTTGCAGAAGTGCCAAAAACTTAGGCATTATTTATGACTGCAAATTAAGGTTTCAGGACTATGTTTCGCTCCTAGTCAAAAAATCGTATCTGGTTATTCGTCAATTATACAGGAATCGAGGTATTTTGAGTTTCAAATTACGTAAGTTGCTTTGTGAAAGTCTTGTATTGTCCATCCTAAATTATGGACTTTTAATTTACTATCCTTGTTTGGATCAAATAACCAAATGCAGACTTCAAAAGATTCAAAATTGTTGTTGTCGTTTTGTATTTGGTATCAGAAAGTATGATAGAATATCAAATAAAATTAAAGAACTTAGCTGGCTCAATATAGGAAATTTATTTAAATATCAGATGGCGGCCACGGTATTTCAAATTCTTTTAACCTCAACTCCCATATACTTAAAAAATAAATTGATATATCTGAAAGATCTGCACAGTTTACATTTGAGATATCCACACAACTTAACGATTTCGAATTACCGATTATCATTTTTCAAAAGATCTTTCACATATAACGCCATTTTAATATATAACAGTCTACCTAGGGAAATTAGGACATGTTCTCTGACATTTTTAAAACAAAATTATAAAACGTTGCTATTAGTTGAGCAATGAATACAGTGCTAACGTTAATATATTATTAATTTCAAACATTTTTCCTTATTTAATTGTATTTTAAGTTCCATTGATTTCAGTTTAGATTAAATACAGGGTTAACATTTTTTAGTCATAAATTAATTGTATATTAAATTTTTTATTTTTTTTATATTGTAAATGATGGATACCTTTTGATTATTTTAAATTTATATTTATGTTGAGGTTAAGTTGAGTAGCGCACTGTATATTACAAGCAAATAAAGGCAATTTATTATTATTATTTATTATATATTATAATTTCAGTTTTTAGATTTTGGCCAAGTTTTTAGAAAAATACGCCACTATGTGACTTTGTAAAATTTTGTGGCTTATTCGAGCTATTGCGAGGGCATGACGAATCATCGGAGCGTTTAAATCCAGGAATATTACTTTTGTATCAGAAATCGATATGGCTATGAAACAACATTTGCAAGGAAATAAGGTATGGCAGAAAAAAGATTTTCATCATGTGAGAAACTACTTATCGATAGGAACCTGATTAAATGCTTCAGTGAAAATGTTATATTATTAAAATTAGTCAGTACGATTCCGATGACCAGTGTCGAAAGTGATCGTTGTTTTTCTATATTGAATAGAATTAAATCTTTACTGGTAAACACAATGCAGCAGGATCGACTAAATTCACTTGCCATGTGAAGCGTTGAAAAAGAGAAGATCTGTTTATTATCGGACTCCAATGATTGTGCTGTCGATGATTTTGCTAAAAACCAAAATCGAAGAATGGATTGTTTTTGTCCAAATAAACTATCGAACTACCCAATGATTCGAGCAAAAACCACACATTGATTATATTAGGTAAGCTTATTTTTCTTATTTCTATTAATCGAGGTATTAATATTGTTTACATTATGTAAATTTTATTTTTGTCTTTTAAAGAGCAGCAAATTAAAAATTGAACACCCATTTTAAATTACAACAAGCCGTCACTGAAGACGACGCCTACAAAGTTTGATACAAATTCATTAAATAGTTTTCGAGAAATAAAAAATACAGGTAACTTAGTTTTTAAAAATCCCTACAGTATTATTTTAGAAGCGTCGTTTAGAATCACCATATACAAAAAATTACTAAATGATAAAATTTTCGTTTTCAAGCATCGTAATTTCCATTTTTTAAATCCATAATCGAAAAGAAGGCACTTACCATAAACACACCACAAAATATTGCTGCACTACTCAATTTTTTCCAGGCATTTGAATCTTCTGATGATGTTAAAGAGTGGTGACAATGAAAGTCTGCGTCTACAGAATCGGGATAAAAATCCTTAAAATAAAAATCATTATCAATATTAGGTACCTACCTTTTAATTTGATAAATGTGTGCCGTTATTCCTTCAGTTTGCAAAAATTGAGTCATTTATTCAAATACATTATCAACAATCCTGTAAATATTACCTAATTGATACAGTGGCGTAGCCAGAAATTTTTCATGGGAGGGTTTTCTGAGAACTACGGGAGGGGTTTCAATCAAGAAAGTGAAATATTTCAGATGAGATTGTTTTTATCAAAAACAAGTAAATAAAAATAAGGATTTTTTTATAAAACGATAAAAAGTGAATAAAAACAAACAGCCAATAGCGATCAGCGCCAATACTATGGCGAAAACGTTGGCGTGAGGGCCTCCCCGGCTACGCCACTTTATAGATACAATTAAAAGCCAACAAGTGCGTTTGAAACTAATTTACGTTTATAAATTATAACAATGGATGTCTAAAAGTTTAATAATAAAGCATTAACTACTCTATGCTTATTGTAGTTCAAAAGTATTTACAATAAATATGGGATATTTCTCTAAAACTCAAAGTTATGCGTCATAATATGAAACTTTATTATCATAAAACAAGATTGCATGGGAGTCTGTTGTTATCATCATGTCTAAAAATATTTCGTGTCTCACAGGTATTGCTGCAGGGTCGCCGAGAGCCAGGTCGAACCCCGGGACAATTTTCCAGGTCAGGCCTCGTGACAATTTTATACAAAAATTATGCCATTTCAATATCACATTTCTAAAAAAAAAAAAGTATTCAAGCAAAAACTTCTCCTCTTCTTTAGCGAAATCTCTAAAAAAAAAGTCTTCAAGCAAAAACTTCTCCTCTTTAGTGAAATTTCAAAAAAATGTCCTCCTTGTGCCGAACTTCTGCAAAAATAAAAAAACGTCTTCACCAAAGTTGCCGGGCCCCCCTTATGTCGCTGCCGGGCCCCCACTTGAGCCCGGGCCCCGGGAATTAGTCCCGGCTACCCCCCTCTTGTCGGCCCTGGGTATTGGGTAAGAACAGGATAAAAAAAGAAAATCAGAATCATGAACAATGAAATATGATTAGAAAAAGTAGAACGAGAATATCAGGAATCACTCATAGGTACCTATTTAAACGCAAAGTTTTATTTCAGAGAAAACAGACTCATGTAGTGCAGCTATGCTGAAATTAATGTATCGTTAAAAAGGTTATGTTTGACGATGAAATTTTTTCCAGAGATGTAACTTTCATTAAACGCTATTTAGTGAGGTTATTTCCTATATATCACGTATCTCAAACCTATTTCCACAATAATAATAACTTATTATGATTGATATTTTATCATCGTGGATTCGCACCTTTACAGTTATCAAAACGCTCGTTGGTGTGATTGTTTTAACAATAATTATCATCTGAAAGATGGTGAAAATAAATATACAAGGGGAAACATTAAAGTGTACCTTTCGACATACTAGCACTGCTTGAATACTGCACTATAATATAGGACTACTAGTTAAAATATTTCTTAATTACATGTTATGCTATTTTATTTACCATTTTACATCCATCACGATTGATCAGACTATAAACGACAATGTTTCTTACCACTATATTTTCGGTCAATTCAAACAACTGCATAGTTTCATTGACAACAGGTGTACTGTATAAATGATCCAAATGCCAATTAAATATTTTAAAAATAATTGAGCATTCCAGCTTGTTATTTTTGATTACCGGTGACTTATTTTTCTATATACAGTATATAAATTCATTTATATTGTTATATTTTATAGCACGTGTTATGTGTTCTGAATTGACGTAAATAATGCTGTTTTGGATAGGAACTCTAGAAGCTTCAAAAGTTAAATTTTAATAGGCAAAGCAAATAAACAAAGAATATAGTACTTGTATATTCACGTAAACATAATGAAAATTCAAAGTCGCTTTTATTAAAGCTTCAAATAGTTTATTTTTATTTAATTTCATACACTTCTATTTTTTACAAAGAGGTGAGGTGTTCATTTGGCAATGCTACATGGCAAATATACAGGGTGTCCGGGAAAATGTGGGAGGTCTCTCTGATTCAGATAGAACATTAAAAAATAAGATGACAAGTAAAAGAAATACTTTATTCTTAACTAATGAAATTTTAACAAGTATTTTGGAAATGATGTGTCAAAATTTTAGAAGAAAGCCCGGCACTATTATATTGAGAATATGTTCAAAATCAAAATAATAAAAAGTATGTTGTTTCCAATTAAAATTTAGGACGTAAAGTAAAAACTGAAAGGTAAAACTATTTATGAAAAAGAAAAAATTACAGTGTCTTGGCATTTTATTTTGTATGTCATCCAAATATTAGAATGTTCTAATAGATTTTTAGATAACAATCAGATGATTAGAGTTCAATAACTTTTCAAATTGTGGAATCATTTTATTTAAAAACAGAATTGATTAGATGTTTAAAATTTTCGGAAAATATGAACTTTATCTTTATTGTAATATGAGGGATTAAAAAAAATGTTTTTAAAGTAGGCCTTAGAAAAATTGATGTATGTCGAGCTTACAATTCTTCTTTTACAGAGTCATTTTGTCGCCAGGGCCGACAAGGGGGGGTGTAACCGGGACTAATTCCCGGGGCCCAGACTCAAGTGGAGGTCCGGCAGCTGCATAAGGGGGGCTCGGCAACTTCTTGAACATTTCGGCGGAGAAGTTTTTGCTTGAAGACCTTTTTTTTTTAGAGAAATTCAAGTAAAGGAGAAGTTTTTGCTTGAAGACTTTTTTTTAGAGAGAGATTCAGTGAAGAGGAGGAGAAGGTTTCACTGCAAGACCTTCTGTTTTAGAAATGTGATATTCCCGAGGCCCGACCTGGCTCTTGGCGGCCCTGTTTGTCGCGCATAGTTATCACGGACATGACTTATATCACTGTCTTTGTCGATCATGGCTTACTTTAGAACTATTTTTTGTGGATCATTCTTTACATCTTTTCACATAATTTACGTTTTAAAGAGTTATCTCCTGAAGCTCTGAAAGAACAACATGTGTCGGGTAAGAACGGCTGTTTTATCATTATCAATAAATTAATTTAGGTCTGACCTGTCGGTCCAACATTAACAACACGTGTATGAATATACGCAGGAAGGATCTTATAGATATCGATAAACATAGAACATCACAATTTCAAAATTGCTTCTCTTATCAGATTTTAAAATGTTGCAATGAAATTCCAAATTAATTTAAAAAAATGTCTAGCTTATAAAAATCATATAACTAAGCTAATATTTGACGACAAGTGCGTTTATTTTTATAATTTCTTCTAACTGCTAAGTTATAATTGTAAAAAATTGTTTTATTCCGTTTTTCCTTCCTTCGTGCATAATGTGTTTTTATATCCTTTTTTTTACTTTCAAGGAGGTTTTTGATCAGTTTGTAACTACCTAACCAAAAGTTATTTTGACCTGTTGTATGTTTTTAATTATACAGTTTGCATAAATAAGAGATCAATAAAATTTATTATTTATAATATTATTGTTTACGAATAGCCCATGATATTTAAAACATAATTTTACCAATAAATTTAGAAAAAAAATGTTATATATTTCAAATCAGAAGTTTGGACTTAAATAATTCAAACATAAAACTCACCATTTTAACTAATACTCAGTAAAAAAGTATTACTATTTCAACTGAAATCAATTAATAAAACACACTAAACGCATTAAGCATTTAAAAACAAACTAGAGCACCTACACTTTTTTTAAATATTATCCTATTTGATTGTTGATAACTATGAACTCGAAGAGGTACCTACACATGGTTTAGATTGGTTTGTGTAAACAATTTACATGATTCGCCATAATAATTAGAATCAATAACTCTAGATAATTTGATTTAAATTGTTCATAATTAAGTGATTATTTAGATAATGCAAAACCATCAATGGTATTTTAAAAGTAAAGGTATCATTATAATTATTAAAATGTTTATGTAATCGTAGAATTCCAACATAAAATGTTTGTTAAAATAAAAAAGTGAAAAATTGATTTTAATATTTAACAAGACAGTTATAAATGGAAGTTTTAAACATAATTTTATCTAAAAAAGACGAAGGATTAGTTTTAAATTTTCTTACAACAAATATTATTGCAATAGGTACTAAATTTTAAATATCGTATTGCTACACATCAGAATAATTCATAAATTAAAAACACAAATAAATATTAGCATGTGTTTACTTACTAGATTAATCATTGTAATATTTGATATAAAAAATGAACTCACAATTTGTTTTTTTTTTTCGAGAATATGTATGTTTCGAGTGTTTTTATTGATTAGGTAGGTATAACGAGAGATAATCATTCAAGGACCTTCAGATGCTAAATTAAGTTGTTTAAAACTTAGAAATATTAATTTTTTATTAAAAAAATTCAAATATACGTATTCTAATGGCGGTAATTCTATTTTAAACATTAAGTAAGCTTAAACTATTCAAACTTCAATGAAAAGCAATAAACATATATGTATTTTTTTGTATTATTAAGGTAGTAAAAATTAATATTTCTTTTTCCCGAGAATCGGCCAATAACAATTAAAAAATTTCAATTTAAAACGTTGACGGTCGTTTCGTTACAAACCATTTTCAAAATAATACAAAACGTAAAATATTATACCAGGTGTCCGCGCGAACACCTTAAATGGAATTAATTATATCTGGTGTTTTAAAAGATATCGACTTGAAATTTTGTAATGTCATTAAGGAAATATGGGGGAAATTAATAGTCTATAAGTTACCACTCCAACGTGATATTCGCCGCCTCAAGCCACTCCAGTCCAAAAATTTAAATGACATATTATGAAAGAGCGCAGTTTCTTTAGTATCTCTATGTAAAAAAATTACTTAATTACAATGAATGTTTGCCGCGTTTGAATATCCACTTCGGATGCATCTGAGATGCTGTAAATTTTTTATCACGTGATAGAGAATTTGATCTGAATGTAGATGTAATAAACAAACGCTCTAGACTTTATC